ACTAGAAGTTGATCCAAGGTCACCAGGGTATTTTTAATGAAAAAACGGATTTTTGCATGAAGCCTGTCAAAACTAGAGTTGCCGTATATCAGCCATTTTAAGTCAGAAACACACTAAATTTTTAGGAAATACTTAGAATAGGGTATTGATGCTGAACGAGTTCTCAAATATGAGATTCAGCGGGCTTAAACGTCAGAGGGTTTCTGGAAACCTCCTGTAAAACCTTAGCCTGGAAAATCCATAATTTTGCCGTTTTACAAGCGCTATCTGATTTATGATCATTTTTCATATATCTATCGAAAATTTGGTGTGTTGATAAACGGCAACTCTAGTTTTGACAGGCTTCATGCAAAAATCCGTTTTTTCGTTAAAAATACCCTGGTGACCTTGGATCAACTTCTAGCCAAAAACAAACATTGCCACGTTGATCAGCACATTCGTTAACCTATGTTTCAAGTCTTTCCGAGATCTTCCGACGTGTCCGGACCGTGTTAGCGTGGTCTCCGGAGAACCTTTCTAGCTCCGAAACCTTGTAAGCTAACGACCTGGAACTGCTCTAGAAACGAATATCTCAGTCCGAGCTACCTGCCTGTCGTCTCAGAAATTAAAATCCGAAACTTTTTCAGTGTTGGGACATCTTTCGCAAAAGATCTTCGCAGGGTGCACCACCTGCAGATAATTGTTGGACAATAATTTTTGGTTTTTCTTATTGCCCCAACATTTTTCTTTCGACTAGTGAAAACCGCAGCTCCGTAGCTACATCCTAGAAAAAGTTATTAAACAAATGGCCATGGTCTTTTTTGAAATGGATAATAAAGAAGGAAAAAAACATTGAAGGTTTTTGTCAGTTCTTGCCCTTTCCGAATTCTTGTAGATCGTTAACTGATCCTTATCTGCTTTTTATCAAATTCTTGTCACTTTTGTGTGGACTTCTTATATAAGACTTCAATCAGATTCTTATACGAGTCGCAGCGGATTCTTATAAGTTTTCAGATTCCTTTCAGATTCTTAAAGACACATCGTCCTGTCTATCTCTCTATCTAACGGGTATTTTTTCATCAAAATTCTTTATCCATTTAAATTATTCTTCATTATGGTCTTTCTTCTTGTAAAATCAATCAGACACTTATGGTAAGAAACTGTAATGTAGGAAAGCGTGAAATCACAACACGAAGATCCTCGAGTAAAAATCTCGATTACCTTAGTGAGATCTTTTCAACGTACAATGTAATCGACTATTCTTAATATCTATGACTCCAAAACCACTTTTCTTTAGAAAATAATGGTCAACATGTTGTTTCTTTCCTTTTCGTCCTACGGTATAATTCGCCAGCATTATGTGTCTTTTCTATCATTAGTCTATATAATACCTGAACAATCCCATTATGACAACGGTGGTGGAAAAGCATTCTTATTGTATATTAGCAAGTGATAAGGCTAAATAGAATATGTATTGCCTATAATTAATTAGCATAGTTCATGTGTACTTTGATGTGTTATACGTAGGGCGTTCGAAAAGTTCCGGAACTAATTTTATTTTTAAGAAAGTTAAAAGCTTTACAGCACTGCCTGTTTGTAGTTCATACAGTCCGCTATTCATAGGCATTACGAGCTCTCGTCGATCAAATATTTTGTGCTAGAATAACATTTCTTTTTAGATCGCATTTGAACAAGTGGTGCAGATTATATACCACCCAATATTTTGTTCATAACTTTTTTTTCTTTCACTATCAAAAGTCACTCTTTGTTTTGAAAAGATACGTCTTGAAGTTCTCTACAAAAAACATATTGAGCGTTTTGCTACAAAATGTAAGAGTGGAGTGTTATATGAATAATACTAAGAAGCTCTAAAATGGACAGAACTGTGCATACTTTTAAAGAATTCAAGGTTTCTTTTAAAGCACTTGAGTAGATATCAAGATGCATTTTGTAGCAAAACACTCAATATGTTTTGTGTAGGAAATCTCAAGAAATAGCTTTTGCAAAAAGGCTCTTTTAAGATCGTTATCTTGAGAGTGTTGAAGACGATTTTTCACAGACCGGTAGCTAAGAGTCCTTATATCGTAGCGAAAGTGCGCACGAGAATCCCCAAAAATAACAAAGATTTTCAAAAAACACTTACAAGGCTACCAAAAAATTACTGAATTGCCCCGCCCTACATTACTCTATATAAGAGTTAATAAAAAGTAATCTATAGAAAAAAATTAATAAAATGGAGAAGAAAAGATAGATTTTATATATTTTTCTCTTATACAAACATCAGAGAGTAGCGCTTTACATTATTCTATGATTGTTCTATTTGCTCCGATCAGAATTTTGACGGCTTCTCTAAGGGACAAAGGAATCGTTAAGATCGTCGTATAAGTTTACGACCGAATTTCTTTCAGGGATGCTTAGGTGCCGAATACTATGCTCAATCATTATTTCACGCGAAAAGCAACCCAAAAATCAAAATATGTTCTGGAAATTCAAGAGATTCAAGGAAATGTTTTTAAGAGGAAGAAAAAAATTGCACTTGACACATATATCTATCGAAGGTATAAGAGTAATAGTTTAGTCACATTGAGTTGGCAGCAGTAGTGTAGAGTTGCACTAATTTAACAAATCCTATTAAACGTGTAGAAGAGAATGTTCTTTGTGTAACTGGTGAAAATCTACAGCCTGACATAAGTGTTGTTTTCTGTGAGAAAAAAATCTGAATAAAACTGCAGGAGTTACGATAGAAATATTTAACTCTCAAAATTGAAAAACTAATACTATAATATTACAAATCGAAAAAATAATGAGCAAAAACATATAGCATTGACAGCTGTTTGCATACACACTTTACTCTATCTGATATTTTTTCTGTTTTCAACATTACTCTTATGCTTTGTTCGTATGAAATGCCTATAGCATTTTCATAGTTAAAGGTGAACTAAATGTTTGTAATAGTATTGAGTTAGGCGTAATACTCCTGTCTTATACGTTGAAAATGACATTTTCAAAACATGTTCAAACGTTATTTGATCTAACATACGTGGGGATGAAGTAAGATTATGGCTCATCAAAAGCATCTGCTCCAAATGGCTCGACAGTTATCAATTCTGGAACGTGCCGCTAGTGGAATAAATGTGCTCACTAAGTTGAATGTGGGTCAGAGGTGGGCAATGGACTATCTGTTGCTCCATCGCGGGGATCACCTCTCAGACTTCCTGTCTCGTCATCGCCCTGTACCTTGTCAGGTTTCGAGAAATCTTCTTCGCTGGGATCGCCCCGTAAGCTTTCTGCCTCGTCCATCATCAACTATTGATAAAATTTTTCCAGATACTAGGAAAACAGAAGAACAAACAAAAAAGGTTAGAAATAACCTTTGCAATAAACAACTGTTAGAGCTTTCACTTCCACTAGAGAAAACGCTGTGTGTGCGATAGATGTCATCTACTAAACAAATATATTTTTCAAGTGAATCGAAAAGAATTCTATCCAGCGTCTCCATTACGTGTTTCGCTAGCAAGAAAAAAATGTTCCCTGTGGGGTTCGCCACTGCAGTTCTTGCCTCTTGATCTTCCCGTGTCTCGTCAAGCTTTCAAAAAATCTTCCTCGTGGGGATCGCCTCGTGACTACTGTCTGATTTTCAGTTGTTTTTTTTAAACTTGTAGTAAACTCACAATTCTGTATATCATTTTAATAGTATTTTATAAAAAGTAATGGATAAAAATGCTTTTATCCAAAAAATTATAATAGAAATATATGAATATAAAAGAAATATCCTACACTTATGTTAAATGTTACACCTGTTGTTGTGGTTGTTGATTATAATACAATTTTGTATCGGTGCCATACGGAGGTGGTGGGTACGCTTGATTCATAATATGTGGTGGTGGTGGAGCATAATAAGGTTGTACGATACCACTGGGTCTGTTATTTTTTTTAAAAAAACAAGCAATCATCACAATACAGAACACAAGAGTTGAAATACCACCGATAACTCCCACCACAATTCCAATAATTGTACTTGCAGTACTAATACCAGAGCTATCGGACATGATTATGATGATAGTTGTTAACAAATTTTTTTCAAAAACAATAATTTATGTAACTCAATTTTTTCAAATCTTTTTATTGCATTTGATAAGTATTCGTATGTTAATAGAATTTCTTTCGCATATATCAAAAGAAATACTTCAAGTTTTATTTTAATTATTTGATCAATTCAATTTGGAATAAAAAAGCAACTTCTCTTCTTCACATGAGCTTATACCACGAAAGTATTTACATCGTCAAAGCATGTCATGCGTCTATTGTTGGCAAAAACACTATTTTGGTTCAGATAATTGACGCTGAAAAGTGATTAAAAATAAAATTTCATTCAATATACAAGGAAATATAAGGATCTATGAAAAATTGATAAAAACGTGAACGGAAATCGATCTGCTTTTAATTATATTATGCGTTTGTATGTTGTAGCCATTAGGAACAGGATAAAGTACCTTTGTGTTTACATGATACTCTCAAGAAATCAGTAGAACCATTAACTGATTGTTTATACAAAGAGTTTTAAATCGTCAGAGAAAGAGATTTTAACGAGACTCAACGTATCACATAATTTATATCGTCTAAATGTATAAAAGAAAGACTCTGAATAATTGACATTTTATATGTTTTTCTTTCTAGGCTGATTTCTAAAAATTTTGTATTAGAAATGAGAGCAAAAAAACTGATTAAGATAAACTATTTTTTGAAATTATAGTTTGATTACTAAGTGATCCCTCTTTGTTTTAGATAAAACAACTCTCACCCGGCCAAGCCTTAGATGCATATACGAAAGTTTCAAGTTATTCTTTGAAACTCGGGGATCACAGAGTCGGACTACTTCTGAGTGCAAGTCCGTCAAAAGACTTCTAGAGCAGAAATACTCGAGGCTAAAAATTTTTTTGAAGCGATTGAGGTGAGCCCAGGCTGATAATCAATAGAACCATTGTGTTTACCTTAAACATATGTGGAAACAAAGGCTTTACACGCGTGTTCCTGCGGTTTATTTTTACACACTCACAGTTTCTTGCGCGTTATTATTTGAAACTCGCTAAACGCGCAAAATTTTTTGTGAACAGAGTTTCCTGCGCTTTTGTGGAATGACTATGACTGACTGGGCGTCGCCACCGTACGAACATCTTCCATCTCCCCCTCCGCCCCAAAATGCTGTCGACGAGCCAGGAAAAAAAACAATGAGTCGATGAACCTGGATGATACCCTTTTTTAATATCTCTATCGAGATCTATGATTTTTAGGTTTGTTAAATTAAAAACGAAATCCAGCTGTGTTTTGTTCTCTCGTGTAATGGCGTTAGCAGGTGTGTTATGCCTCTGTAGTATGCTATAGTGCTTTGTTCTCATACCATACGGAAGGAAGAACAGAAAATTGTATTGATCAGGTATCACATAGAGACGTTCGTTTCGATCGTAAAAGTTTATTCAACGCAGCTTTTCTTTTTATTATTATTAAGTAATAAAAAAAGTTAATTATTATAATTATCCTCGTAAAAACACTTCATACTGTCAAATAAATAACATCATACAGGAGCTATAAAGGCAGTATTTAAAAAAGGTTCGGGTAAACGGGTTCAAAATAAATATAAACGTCTTGAAACGTTAATTAAAAGGGCGGATTTTTTTAATTTTATGTGACAGAGATCAATGAGAGGAGCGTTTTTCTGACTCTTCTGGACTGGAATAGAAGATATGGCAAAGTTGTACTCATATACAACAAGAAAAAGATTTCTTTTTTTTAGACAAAGGTCGATCCAGAGTTTGCACATCGGCTGCGATGTGCTGCGCAGTCGGACAATCGTGATTGACAACCATAACTTTACCTGGAATAATCGTACTTTTGACAAGGGGGAAAGCACGGAATCCTGGAATCCCACGGAATCTCACGGAATCCAATGGAATCCAAAGGAATCCAATGGAATCCAAAGGAATCCAATGGAATCCAAAGGAATCCAATGGAATCCAATGGAATCCAAAGGAATCCAATGGAATCCAAAGGAATCCAATGGAATCCAAAGGAATCCAATGGAATCCGATGGAATCTGGTGGAATCCGGGATTCTACACTTCTCCCGAAACAGAACAAAAGTGTTCTATATTTTGGGGAACTTTTCCCGAAAACAGAACAAAAATGTTCTGTTTGGGAGAAAGTTCCAGAGAATCCAAGGGAATCTTATGGATTCCAAGAGAATCCTATGGAATCCAAGAGAATCCTATGGAATCCAAGAGAATCCTATGGAATCCTAGGGAATCCTGGTGAATTCTTGGAATCTAGGAGAATTCAGGATTCTAGGATTCCGTGCTTTCTAAATTCTGTATCGAATGATATATCCTTCAAAGAAATCAGAAATAGAAAGATTTTCGATGTTCCAAGGGCGTCAGAGGGACGAAAAATGTTCATAAAACACCAACGTCGTTTTTCGAAAGAACAAAACACGTCATTTTGCTCAGAATTCAATGCTGATTCCGAATATATGATATTTTTTCGAAAATAGCATGGTGAAAAAAATGGCCTTATCGTAACTGGTCCTTTTCGTGACCTTGGCTTAAAACAGCTGATGATAGAGTCACCACATTTGTTTTCTTGGTGAGTGATTTGTTTGGAAATTATTATTGTTCAACCTTCAGAAAAGTAAGAAGCCGCTAAAGGATCAAGATAATGACGAACTACTGGCTGTTGCTGTTGTTATCCCGCATATTAGCGGAATGAAAGATAAATTGAGATCTTCATTGAATCAGTATAACATTAAAACCTACACGCAACGTGCTAGAAATCTATACAGTATTCTTACCAAAGCTAAAGTAATTATGAAAGTGGAAACGAATCATCGACAAAAAGCCGAAATATCCATGCCATCAGTATAGTATTCCTCGTGAGCGTGGCGCTTGGTATGTAAGTGAAACTGATGATTACCTAACAAGGGAAAATCAGCATCGAACTTCAGTAGATGATGGTGTAATATATCCAACAAAAACGCTTTCATCAGGATTAGCTCACCATAGTATATCCACTGATCAATGCAATATCCAGCTTGACTCTACTGTTATCTATGATGAGAACGAAATAAGTACAGAAGAAAGTACCACAGGAATACCAGGGCTGGGCAACTCCAACTCCGGAGTTGGAGTTAACTCCGGAGTTGAGGATTTTTTTGTTGGAGTTGGAGTTGGAGTCGGAGTTAAGTTTGGCGGAGTTGGAGTTGGAGTTGAGGTTTTAGTAGGTTGGAGTTGGGTTTTTGAATATTTATTTTCAACTCCGTTTTGCATTTTTGGAAATATTGAATAGTTGTGAACTGGTCTTCTAAACGATTGAGTGGCTGTGTTCACGAGTGAATTCGGAAGTTCTTTGCGCTTTCTTGCCGGAAAAAGCTCAAAAGCGTCCAGAATCCTGCTAAAAATCGAAAAATCTTCCGTACAAAAGTGA